TTTTGGCCTGAACATGCCAATGGCCTTGAAGAACTGATACCACTCTAGTCTGTACAGAACTCGCCTCAATCCTTCTCTGTTCCCCTTGGGTGTGTAGCACACCACACACTGTTCCCTGCTAAAATGTATACTTTATAGTATACTTCCATTTCCCTTCAGTAAATGCAAGTTCAGTATAACTGAGCCTGCACTCCAGTACACAAATCTATTCTGTATTTGAGTAAAACCATCTTTGCTTTGTCTTAACTTTGGTCATAACTTCTAGGTTTACAGCGGACACAAGAGACAGACTTGGGAAGGAGAACCAGCTGGGGGAAAGAGTAGGTGCCATTCACCCGGCATGGGTATCAGGTCTGCAGCACCTTCTCCCTCTTGCTACTTCCCATTCCTTCCCATAACAGCACCTCATCTTTGGCTGAATAGGGTTAAGATTTCCCTACCCAAATGACACAACCACCAAGTGCAGGGCATAATTCCTGCCCAGTTCCTTGATATATTCTGTGATTACTCCAAAGGAACAAGCAGCAGAGTCCTGAAGAGGATCTATACTCCCCTGTGTACCATGGCCCTACTCAAAACAGTCAGACCCAAGTGCCCATCAGCAGATGACCAGGAGACAAAAGGTACACACCCATACAGTAAAGTATATTCAGCCTCAAAGAGGAAGGAAATCTTCAGTAGAGAAATCTGAAGATAGTACTGCTAAGTCAAACACACCTGTCAGGACTGGGAGGAGAAAGAATTACTGTTTACTGAACAGAGCTTGTTTTGCAGATAAAGAGACTTCTGTGGCTGGGTGACACAGACAATGGGAATGTTAACACCACTAAACTGTACAGTTTAGTGTAAGATGTGTAAGATGGCAAATTCCATGGGGTATGTGCTCTACTACAATGTTTAAAAATAAAGCAGAAAAAGCAAAAAGGAACATAGCCAGAGGCCAAACGAGAACAGTCTGGCGTGCCTTTGTGTCTGAAATGACCACAAGGTCTCTCCTCTCCTTCCAGCTCTATCAGGATTCCAAGATATACTGCCAACAAATGGTGCCAGCATTTCCAAACTAACCAGCTCCTTCGGGTCTCCTGCAGGAGGCTCACAGGCCCTTGAAGTCATGGCTCACCTGAAGGGTCTGAAGCATCATCATCTGAACTGGCACGTACAGTTCAGCTGTGGTATGTGGGACATATGCACACTTCAAAGGAAAGGAGAGATTTTTTTTTTGTGATGACACAGACAAAGGACGAGGCTGTGTCAGGGTCTCCATGAGGACAGGGCCAGGAGAGCAGGAGCCAGCTTTCCTCCCCTCACACTATACCTCGGAATTGAAGCAGGATCTTCCACACACAAGCAAACCCTGTCACTGGGTTGTGGAAAGGCACATGCTGCTAGGAGTTACTTTGTGTTCTGTTGTGCTGAAGGACTTAGGACAATTCACTCACCATGGAAAGGTACACAGCCAGTCCCTGGGAATGGGGGAGAACACAACACAGACAGAACACAGCATGGGACACATGAAACCAGGACACATTAATAAAAGTCCCAGGGCAGGCATTGGAGCAGAAAGCCAGGGAATCTTCCCACACCCTCAGAACAGATTCTGAATTTCTACAGCAATAAGCAGTGATTTCTAACAAGTAGTTGCAAACAGGTACAATCCTCTCAGAAAGGCAGAAGCTAGTTGTGGTCACCTGGGCACTGCTGTTCAGAGGTGAGATATATAGTAGTGGCATAGCCAAACAGTGGTAGTGGTAGAAGTCATACAAGGTCTTAGCCAAACATCCTGGCCATGCTACTCTTTACTGACACACCCCCAACAGAGACTGGTCATTCCATTTACCCTGGGCAGTCTGCAAACTGAGTGAGGAGTAGGATGAGCCTCTCCCACCCCCCAGGAGGTTCTCTGCAGGCCCACTGACTGAGGTCAGCCACTGCACAGGCCTGCCTCCGTCCTCCTGGCAGCTCAAGGATAAAGGAAGTGGGGAGACAGGGACAAGGAAGGTCTGGGGAACAGAGAGGTCCTGCAGGACAGAATCTCCATCAAATGGCTCTCATCTGTCTACACAGACACAGTGGCCAAACAGAAACACAGGCCTCTCTGGGCCTGCATGTTTTCCCCATGTCTAAACAAGTCAGGACAGATTCTTTCTGGTCCCTTCCAGCACTCTGCCATTCTGTACATCTACAATTAAAGGGCTTCAGGAGCTTAAAGAGCCTCATGCTGAGGAGACACAGTGACCCAAAACAGTGCTATTCTCCAGCATCCTGAGTAACAAAGCAGCTGGAAGAAGCTCTTAGCTTCCTAAACACGTACTGTGACCTTCCTTCTCCCTCAGCTTTGCTTTTTCTCTTAGAATCTGTTTGAAAAAAGAGACAGAAACCTACTGTTCCCTCCTCTTCCCAGTGCTGTCCTTGGCAGGACTGACCCTGAGCCGACCAGCAGTCTGCCCAGCTTCCAATAGGACAGGAGTAGAAAGGAACGCCACGCTCAGCCAGCCCCCACTACGCTCGCATGGCTGCTGTCTAGGCCAGAGGTGTCCAGCACTAGAAAGTTGGGGCCTGTTGCACAGATCTACTCAGGAGCCCAAGCCCAAGGAAAAAAGGGCCTTGTAATATGCTGTTTGCCTCCACAAGCAACTCGAGGTTACTGGCCTTCACACCTATTGGCCCATGATCTACAAAATGCTTTCTCACTCATCAGAAGGGCTACATGAGGAAGGAAAGGCTTCTGCACTACAGGACTGCACTATAGGACTTTTCAAATCCAGCTGCTCTCACCTAAATTTTCACATTTAAATACACAGGAGTAGAGGAAGACCCGCAGACCCCTCCATGTGTAAGGATCGGGCGCAGCAGGGACACTGGATGCCAAGGACCTTGTCAGGCTATCAGGCCTCCGAGAGCAGATGCTGGGCACCATTCCCCACATCCTATGTCCCTGGCAGAGACATGCAGCTACAAGCAAACAAAATACAAAGAGAAAAAGGTAAAAGGGACAGAATAAGCACAACTACTTTCAAAGCAAATCAACACTAAGTTACAGGAATGAAATCCTTACTTCTGATGAAAGAAAATAAAGGCTGAACCACACACAATACTTTTGGACCAAATCCTCTTTTCTCTGTCTTCCTTCTCAGTGTGGGCAGCTGATGGGGTTGCAACAGAGCTGACTCCTCCAAAAGAGCAGAGGTCTGTCTAGTCCTGCCACCCTCCCCTATAAGGGGACTCACATGCACCCCTTGAGCCCCATTCTTCCACACACAAGTCCAGCAGAAAACCTCCAGATGGCACGAGGTAAGAGGAGATGACATTGTGTCCTGAGTGGAAGACACTTCCAAGCAATGGGCCCCCGCTATCCAGGAAACCCAGCCTGACCTCAGCATGACTCAGACTTGGGTTTGTCCAGCCTTCTTCCCTGCAGACCAGGCTCAGCCGGCATAAAGCTCCAAGATGGGAGAGACCTGGGCCTCCCAGACCCTTCTGCTGCAGTGAGCTCTATCAGGCTCCTCGTGGCAAGCCTTTGGGGACACAGCTGTAAAACGGAAGCTGAGGGGCTGGGAAGGTGGCTCAGTGGTAGAGTGCTTGCCTTGCATGCATGAGGCCCTGGGTTCGATTCCTCAGCACCACATAAGCAAAAAGAAAAAAGTCAGAAGTGGCGCTGTGGCTCAAGTGATAGAGCGCTAGCCTTGAGCTGAAGAGCTGAGGGACAGCATCCAGGCCTAGAGTTCAGGCCCCACGACCGGACCCAAAAAAACGGAAGCTGAGTGGGGAAGGCCCCACTGCTGGTAACACTCTAGCCACACGCAGCCAAAGTCTTGGCTGCCCGGTGCCTACCGTGACAGGCCAGGCCTTGTGAGAGAGGAAGTCGATGGCTGGGCCACAGGAAAGGGGGAAAAGGGGAAAGAAGAAAGCTGGCTCTTGGTCTGAACATTAGCTCATCCTGGCCTCTGCCAGATGACTGAGGGCCAGGTGAGGGCTTCTTCCTCTGCTGGAAGCAGCCTCTGTCTCTGCTGTACAGAACACACACTGCAGCCTCTGCCTCTGCTGTAGAGAGCACACGCAGCAGCCTCTGCCCACTCATGTAGGCTGCTTCCTGAGTCCCTGGGGGCAACAAGTGAGTTCTGAAGATCTAGCTGTGCCTCATAGCAGAACACTGCCCTAGCTGAGGATCAGACACAAGGCAGCTGCATCACTGCTGGAATTTGCATCAGGGAGAGATCATGGGCAGACAGGCCTTTGGACTACCATGAACTCTGCAATGGTAGAGTGGTAGAGTAAACATGGCAGGGCCTAGTTCAACAATCCAGGCAGCAAGGTCCAGGCCCACTGTGGCCTGGAGCTCGGAGCAGGTTATCTGCAGATTGATGGAGCAAGGCACATCCCAATATGCACTAATTAAATGTCTGTAGGTTCAACCACAGCTACCCAACACCACCAGAAAAGCAAGAACCTGAAAGCAACGCTCACTGACCACCAGCCACAGGCTATGAGCACACAGCTCATCTCACATGGCCCAGAACATACCTGTTCTGACCCTGCAGAAGAGAAGAACACTGAAGACTAGAAGAGGCCATGGTCTCAGGTTTCTCAAGTGATAAAGGGCAGTTGCAGAATTCAAACCAAAGCCCAGCCTGCCAGAAGCAAGGCCTTTCACCTGTCTGCAAGGAAGCAGGAAGATCTGCACACCCCAATCATGTTCTGAATCTCCCCCTTCCCGTGCAACTTCCACATGAAAACCAGTCTCACAGCTTCTTGGCTCAGGTCTGACAACTCACAGGAAAAAAAGACAAAAGCTAAGTTGAGCTAAATCCAGAGCAACCGTCACACATCTGAAAACAGATAAAGTGAGAGAATGCACACAAAAATGTAATTATACAAAAACAATAGCAAGCCTTTGGAATGGGTGCAAATAAAGCCTGTACTATGACAGAATACAATAGAGATGTCAATGACAGTTCTCCTGTGTGCCAGGCACCCAAGTCTGAGCCCACTGCCATTCTCACCTCACGAGCAGCAGGCCAGATGCTGACACCAGCCAGTGGGTCCAGGATACATGGTTTCTCCTATCTGCCTCTTCTGAAATGAAGTTGACAGGACATTTGTCATGGTTTCCCCTCAGAGAGGTGACAGTACATCAAAGCTCTTAACACCTGAGATTTAAATTAACACCAGCACTGCTTTGAAATGATCTAGCACTCAAGATGACTGAGTGCTCCCTTTTTGTCTCATTTAGGCTTCACAGCAGGAAAGCCAAATTGGCTGAGTTCTTACTACTCATAGTTGCATAAAATCAGAGAAGCCAGAGCAAGGCAGACTGCTCAGAAATTTGTCCAAACAAATGGTAGCAACAGCCAGCATCTGGACTCTCCGTGCTCTGGGCCTACAGCACATGACCAGGGAAATGGGGAGCCGGCCAGGAATCTGACATGTTCAAGGGCCCACCCACACTCTGCTCCTCCTAGCCCTGGCAGAGGGCAAAGGTCACACTATAGTATGCCTTGAGCACCACCGGGAAAGGGTCAGGACTGTGTGAGATAGCTTCCTAGCCCTTTCCACAAATGGTGTCTAGATATTTGGATACAGTGATACTCTGTGAAAGCCTCTCATACCCGAACATTGTTACACATGGGGTGAGGGGTGAGCTTTAAAAACAACCAGACCTCCACTTCTCAAAAATACTGAACAAAGCCAGGCACCAGTGGCTCATGCCTGTAATCCTAGCTACTCAGGAGACTGAAATCTGAAGATTGCGGTTCAAAGCCAGCCCAAGCAGGAAAGACCGTGAGACTCCTATCTCCAATAAACCACTAGAAAACCGGAAGTGGTGCTGTAACTCAAGTGGTAGAGTGCTTGCCTTGAGCTAAAGAGCTGAGGGACAGCACCCAGGCCCAGAGTTCAAGCCCCATGACCGACAAAAAAAAAAAAAAAAAATACTGAACAAATTCAGACAGATTAAGAATTAGATATGAGAGTCCTGAAAGCTAACCAATTATTAGAAAAACAAAAATAAATACTACTTTCTGACTTCCAGGCTTTTTTTTTTAATTGTGAAAATACAGTTACAATTACATGGGCAAGGTAAATGAGTACATTTCTTATCAAGCATTGTTGCCTCCTCCTTTGTTTCCCCTTCCCATCCCTTCCCATCTCCCACCCCCACCTTCCATAACCCCCCCCCAGCCAAAGTTGCAAAGTTCATTTTTCGACATAACGACTTGTACATCTCATTGTTGCAATGGGTCCATCTGTATCCCTATTTAAATGATTTGTTTTTTCCCTTCCCCTCCACAAATTATACCGTCATCAAATAAGTGAAAGCAGGGGTTATACTGTGGGGGAGGGACATACAAAGCAACAAAGAAATCATCTTATAAATATGTTAGAAACAATCACAAGAAAGAAAAAAAAACATTTAAATACTTATCTTGGGGTTCATTTCACCTAACATAGACTTCCAGGCTTTGAGATAGGCTCTTCTAAGCTTAAAGGCAATGGAAGGAAAAGGCACGAAGGAAAAGAATGGGCACTGATCTCTGTAAAGCTAGCTCTCCCTGTTTAAAAAGAAGTCTGGTGAAAACATTGCCAAAAATAGACCAGGGTTATGAACAGCCAAGGTCAAATGAGAAAGTCTGGCTAAGAGATCAGAAAGCACATAGTGAGAAGCTCTTGAAGTCAGGAATTAAGGAAATCAACATGGAAATTGAAGTCAGGAATTAAGGAAACCAAAAATACAGTCTATACGGGGGCTAATAAATGTCAATAAAAGCCTTCCAGATCACATAAGATCATTACTTATAAGGTGTTAAGTTTTTCATGGTGGAAAAAAAGCTTATAGCACATGATTATCTCAAGTTTATTAAAAACCAAGGAGAATAGACCATGGAATCATGCCTGGAGTGTTGCTCTGCGGTATGGATATCTGTTTCTTCTCTCTGCTCCCTTCTGCTCACCATCTGAGTATCACTACTCTAACAGGGAGGGGACCCAGAAACAACAGGCATCTGGTAATTTAGCAGACTTTTATTTGGAAAAACACAAAAAAGCAATGAAAAACTGCTGTAATTCTTGCAACTGCTGGTTTCTACCTGCTTCAAGAACTGCACAGATGCCTTTTTTCATTAAGTTTCACTATTCTCCTTTTCTTTCCAAGCAAACTCCAAAACAGAATGCACAGTAATTATATAATAAGTCCACCAAGGTCCCTTCATTATGGTTCCAGATCTCCCATTCATCAGCAAGATCCAGCCCTGTGTAACACCACAGGGCCAGTGCATGCTACAGGTACAGCCAATCTGGGACCGGCCAGACCAATGGACACCAAGCCAGGAAACAAGTAAGACTCTCCATATGGAATCTGGGCCATTTGGCAGTTTGGGGCTACTTAGCCTGTCTATCTCCATCTACTCTGATACAGCAGGTTACTTAAAGTGTCCACAGCTTGATCCGCCATCCCTGGTCTCCTCCTCTCTCTAGGCCTTCTCCCCACACTCACACATTCCTACTCCTGTGAGCAGCAAGGAAATCAGGCAGAGGCAGCCTTCTGTGGACACCCTCTTCCCATCTTGGATCCATTGTCTTCCAAGCCCTCCCTTGTCTTCCAAGCCCCCATGCCTTCATCCTGATTCAATTTGCTGCTTTGCTGCCGTTCTGTAAACTCATGAGAATGGCTCAGTCATCGTCATCCAAGCTTGACTTTGAACACATGAGAGTGGTTGCTGAGACATCCACACATGCCTGTATGTAAACTCCACAAGTAGCAAAGGTCCCTCTGCAGGCCCAGGCAGACAGAAGCTCCCGGATACTGGTCCTACTTCTGCTGGAGAATGTCCTACTTGGGGACCCACAAAGGTCAGCTCAGGCCCCTCATGGCCCTGATGCTGTATATTTCCACTGGCTGCCTTGTTGGTGAACCCCAAACAGCTATGTCAACTGGCGCCCTGAGGCACCTCACCCCAACTGTGAGGGTAAATGGCAGGCTTCCAGATCCTCTACAGCTAGGTGTAACACGTCCCTGGCATGACCCAGCAGCATCCAGAAGCAGGCACAGCCAGAGCTCTAAGTGCTATTCCACAGCCACTCAATCACCTCAACAGCAGTGCCTGTGCTCTGACTGACGTGGGTGATGAGAGTCCATGATGCACAAAGGCATACTAGGACATGCCACTAAGAGTAGAAGAGCTGGATGAGGAAATCCCTCAAAGCCTCACTACAAGGGCATAATCAGGATTCACTGACGGAAGGAAGACATGTAGCAGTAGAAGGGGCAGCAGAATGGTCTCCACATGTCTGAGAGGCCCCACGTGTAAGACATCAGAACCACCGAGTCTCCTGATACTGACTATGGATCCGTGAGCTTCAGGGATCCTTTGCTGTAGCTCACGCTCACCTTACAAGAAGGAACACTGAGGCCATACATCTGTCTGTGTGGCTCCAATGCCATTCAAAGGTGGCAGTCCTACAGCTGCACCACCCAGAGAATCCCAACAGGCAAGTGATATCTGTCCTTGGGACAGGGACGTACACAGCTAATGCTACACTACTGAGCTGTAGCCTGGGGCAGTCCACACCCCTCAAGCCCAGTGCTCCATACCAAGTACCAAGGCATGTGGCCCTATAAGACACTCAGGCTTACTGCCTTCTCTTAAGAGGTAAGTATGGTTTTCTCCCCAAGTAGCCAACAGGCTACAGGGCAGAAAAGAGAAAGTGTTAAGAAATAGAAACCTTCACAGCATATCTGCAGTAATTTAGAAAACTTGGCTTTGGATCCTGGCAACATAATCTATTTTGAGTATGAGACAAGCTAGCTAATTCCTAATGAGCCAGATTGGAAACACACTTTAAGTGAAAAGCAAGCTCATCATGAAACAGTGACAGGCCCCAAACACAGGCACTTCCAATGCTCCCAGCGGCCACATGGCCCTGAGGAGACCATGCTGCCATCTGCTGTGGGCTTGAGAAGGGGGCTGGAGAAGCATCACCAACCCAGAAAATCCCATCCACTGTTCCTAAGCTCAGTACACACCAGAGGGGGATAGCTCTGTTGGATGCTGAAGAACAATTAATCCCTGGGTGAGGCCAAGATGCCGGTCCAGGGCAGGTGACCACAGCTCAGGAGGGCTGTGACCTGTCAGAAACACAGATGAACACACAGGTGCCTGGCCACAGTGCCACAATTTATTCATAGCAATACAAGTTCACAAGCTACATTAGTTTTGTGGCTAAAATTGGACAAGTACTACTGAGTTCACTGAGAGCCCTGAGCAGTGGCTCAGCCTCCGGTGCTCAATCCTTAGTTACTAGTATTAACTCGGATCTTGCTGCCCTTTTCACATAATATGTAGGTTGAAGAATGTCAGGACAAGGGGGAGAGGCTGCAGGATTCCCAGGGCCATGCTGTGAAGGCACAGGCAAAAGAGAGCTGACACAGATGGAAAAAGCCTCCATGAGGACCAGAAGTTTTGCCAACCATAGGTACAGAGCTGTTTGAGGTAGAGCTGTCAAATGCAGCTCCACGTGGCAGACTGTTTCAAATGTCAATTTGAAGTGGATGTCAGAGGCAGGAAAAGCTGGGCTCAGACTGGAGCCCCTGGACAGAGGCAAAGCCCAGGGACGGTAGCAATTTCCCTGGATGTGGTTCCTGACAGTTGGCCTGGTGATGGTTCAGTGTGCCAGCCTTTCTCCCTCTCAGGATGCTCCTCCTTTTATAGACCCAGGTGAGCAGGTAAGTTAATGGGTGTTTCTAATAAGCTTTTGTATACTTACAGATGCAACGGTATCTTGTGTGTTAGCAGATGGTAATTATTTACTCATCTAAACAAGATGCAGTCATGCTATTTTGGCACTTGTATTCAAAATGGAGTAGCTTCAGTCAATGCTGTTGGTGTATGAAAAGGAGTGACTCGAGGCTATGTACAGCCTGAAGCTGCTACTCCATACAACATGGAGCAACACAGGGCAGACCTGGCCTTACCACATGTGCTCCACAGGAAACTAGGGTCAGAAGGACCCATCTGTGGCTTGGGCTGCTCCCCTTACCCTTTAGTAGACATGCTGAGGAAAGAACAAAGTCCCACATGCATCTGTGTCC